TCCATTTATTTCAGAAGCATTTTGGCTGTAGAGCAGTGTTATTGGAGGTTTTTCAGAACTGGTTAGACAAAAACCTATCAGAGATGGCCTAGGTATATTTGACCCTACCTCAGTGCAGGGGGCTGGAATTGATGATATCTCAAGGTCCCTTCCAGCCCTACATTTCTAGGATTCTATGAATATCAGCTCGCAAAGGTAAGAATTAGTGCTCACTCAATTTTTGAAGAAAAAGTGCTTTAGATAAATGCAAACAAGTAAACAGAAGTCAGAATCCCCTTTGACTCCACAACCTGGCAGTAGTTTGCTCTTGATGAACTCTGTTGGAAGCCAGGAACTATTCTCATAAGCTAAGTTATCAAGATATAAGCAATAGCAAGCAATCAAATACAAATTAACACGATATTATGCTAGTTAACCCCTGTGAGACAAGGACAAAGGTTAACAGTTGGTTAATGAAAAAAGTCATTCTCTTTTTGCTTGCAATTCCTTTACAAGCTTATGGTTTTCCATCAATCAATAACAGCTTCTGTTCACTCATTAGCTATCTAATCCCCTTTAGCTTCTCAAGGGCATAACAGAAAGCACCGCTCAGCCCAGCAATGTTCTCAGAACGTTTCAGGAGGACGTGCATATCATTTTATTGTTCAATGGCATGCTCAGAAGCTTTGTAGGACCCTCTCGACACATATGTACAAAAATGCCCTGACCAAAAGTGGAAAGGCCCAAAATGAATGGCACAGTTTACGCAGTAGTGAAGGGATCCAAAAATGATGTGCAATTAATTTCTTCCACAAACTGCTCAGATATCATGGTGCTGTTCAGATTAGATCAAGAAGAGGATTATTTGCAAAGCACTAAGCACGCACTTATCTTTAAGCATGTGGGTAGCCGCCTTGAAGTCGATGACATAGGAAAGTGATAGGCAATCCTACCTAAGCTCATGAGCCAGTAAAGCACAAGGTTAACTGTAAACACTTTAATCAATGATTTCAGTGGGAGTGTCATGTGCTTAAAGTATTTGCAGAAGTGCTTTGTTGGACTGAAGCCTTAGAGAAGATGGCATTTTCTATAGCTTCAGCTCCAAATTCAACTTCAGGTTAGTGTCAGAGGGAAACTGGGCCTTATAATGCCCCTCCATAATGTAGGTCAATTGAGTGATTGCAAATGTTAATGGGTGACAGAAAACATCTCCCTCCATAT